AAAGGAGAAGAATAACAACCTATAGCTGTGGGTAGACTCAGGTAATCTCCAGTTACCTGTTCTGGTAGCCACATTACATTCTTATCAATGTTGGTCCTGTCCCTGCCAATGTAATTACCATTCCTCATTGTTATGTCTCTTAGTGATTTTTCTGCTGCCAAATTTCCCTGGCCAGACAGTGTCAGGGTCGCCGCCTGCAAAATTGTCTAACCCAAGCAAACCCTAATGCAGAAAAAGCTTGTTGTTGTGATCCATAATCATCCCTAATCCCTGTGGCTGATTCCCCTGATTACGTGTCAGAACAGGAGCACAACCTATTTAAAAGGAGCTGTTTTCAAATCAGCAGTACATCCGTTCATTAGTTAAGGTACCCATGTTTGACACAAAAGGTGTCTCTGAAATGTCTCTGGATTGCAGCATAGGAAGACAGCATGTGTCTGTCAGGATAACACTTCACTCAGATTGGGCTGTTTGCCCTATTTTCTAGCTTTTTGGCTGCTGTACAGATAATAGGACCCCTCTGGAGCAGAGGAAGTCTGGCAGTAAGGCAGGATTCTTTCGAGTAATACATGGCCCTGGTGGGTATTCATCCTGGTAATTTAGGCAGGTGTATGCAAGTGATCCTGGAAACTAAATATAGATTTATGTTAAAGGTTTAGTTTCCATAATGGTGTTTTCTGAAGAGCCCGCAGTCTCATCCTGGTGATAAGGTTCATAAATGGCAGAAAAAAAACCCCAAAGCAGACTAAACCCCAATAAATTATTAATGTTGCCTTTGGGTGATCAAGTAATTGGGAAAAAAAAAATGTTTACAGAAACATTTAAGAAAAGCTTGAGGCTTTGCAATTACATCTACATGCAAATCACCGCGTTGGTTTATCCACATACTACTGAACACCAAAACATGTCCCAACCATAGCTAGAATGGAGCTGACTCACCAGATTTATTCATGACTGTTTATTTATCAGAGTAGCTTTATTTCTTCTACTTGTAAGCATGAGTCGCTTTTGTAGCCACAACATAAGATCACAGTTGCATCTCATCTTGTGTCAATGCAAACGTGTGTATATCCTGTTTAAAATAATTCTTTACTTCCTGTGTTTTCTCTGAGTTGTGCCATAGTGGGGAAATTTTTAAGGGGTTTGATTTCCCCATAGTTCTTATTTCTCCTCTACTAGTGTTACCGTACTTATTTGTCTTTTCCTCATGCTGTAATTGGTCTGGTGCAACTGTGCAATTTTTAACTGTGTGCAGTATCAACAGACCTCCATCTGTCTCTCCTTCAGAGCTTCCCAGCCTGCCATTATAAATATCTGCCAAATCTTTCTCCAAAGAAAAGATCACCAGATTCCGACTGTTTGCAAAATAAGAGCCACTGCCAGCCTCTCCCACTGTCTGCAACCTGTGCAGAACCTGTGTCCTGCACATTGTGAGATGTTATTGCTGGCACTGAGGAGCTCTTGACCATTGCTTTCATTTATTGTCCCTCAGAAGCATACACTTCTGCAGGGGTTCAGTATATTGGTCCGTTTGCTCAAATACTTCATTATGAATGGCATTTTATTAGAAAATAACCTTCAATAGCCATCAGGTAGTAAAACCAAAATAACCTGAGGGTGAAGTTTCCCCTTTAAAATGCAATGCTGATTTGAAACATGCTGTGGGATGAATCACATCCAGTGTTGTTTTATAAGATGCTTTACTTGACCTGGAAGGGACTCAAAGTGCATGCCCCTTTCCCAGCATGTCACTTAGAGACTAAGGACCATTTACCATGATCTAAAGCTGGATTAACTGATAGGACATGCTGACTGTACATCCACGTTGCTGAGAGCAGAATTTGGTCTTCCACCTGTCTATACATATGCATCAGAATAGATCATTAGAAGAATTTGCACCAAACCAGGCAATGCATTGATTAGATTGCACACAGTAAATATAGCAACTTTTTTAACATGGATGAAATAACATCATGTATAAACATATTTGGATAAAGTAAAAAATACAGATTATGATGTAGGTGCTCTTTTAACACTGTTAAAGGCATTCTCATAACAATCCATTGATTCCATTGAGTCAAAGCTGTGTTAGGCTCATGTGGCTTTTTTAATTCAGTGTGTACCTTAGGGCTGTAATCATCACACGTGTTAGTGTTTGCTGGTGGTATAGCAGCTTACCGTGGCTGAGGAATTACCAACGAATCTCTTTAGGTGCTGTTGCAGACATCAGTTAACAATAAATATATGTTTTGATAAAACTCTTACCACCTAAAGTCAGATCCAAGCAACAAGGTTCCTGTTCCATGTATGTGGAATAAGTCAGCAGAAAGGGTTTTTCAAGAATATTTCAGGAGATTTTGTGTTTGAGTCTGCTACATCTTAGTTCTGCAGAGGTTTGCAAAGCAACATAAAGAATGTAGAGCAGTTTGGAAGTTTGATATATCTTCCTTCCCGACTACATTCAAAATAACCCAGTATTTCCAAGACATGGAAAAGTGGGTACCATACTGGTTTGCCATGAGTATCGACCATAGGGACTGGATAAGTAAAGGCAAACACCTGAAGCACCAAAGAAACTTGGGAGTCTGTTTCATGGTGTATAGTCAGGTTCCAAAAATACTGCAGTTTCCATTGTCTGGATTGCACTGTGGATCTGGTGTTCATTTCTCATGGTTTTAGGACAATCAAGTTCATGGTTTTCTAGGAGAGTGTGCTATGACTTAATAATACATTATGACGGGAGAGAAATATGTCCAAACAAGTGTAAGCCTGCAGGACAGCTGTACTTGCTCCCAAATGAATAAAATCTTTGGCCATTGCCGCGGGTGGCAGGGATGAAATAGAAAAGTGAAATTAGAGAGACCGGACTATCCTGGAGGTGATGTACTGGCTGCCCAGCATGTCAAGTTTGCAGCTCAAAGGAGCTGGGCTGGGGATACAGCTGTGCTTGCAAGACTGAGATCTAGCCCTTATTTAAGTCTGATTTTCTGGAGCAAGATTTTCTTGTGAAGGAACAGCGTGATTTGGTTAAAGTCTTTGGGAGATAAAAAGCAGATGGCATTGATTAACTAATCGTTAGTATTTTCTGCAATTTACTAGCTGTGCTGATATGCATAAAGTTTGCAAAAGCTTGGGATGAATCTTTCTCTCTTTGATATGTTCAATAATTGAATATTTTAAAATCTGGAGAGGAGGGAAGTTACATACAAATGTGTAATTTTCTGCCCAACAGAAATATGTTAAGATTTTCCTTTGAATTTATATTCAGGGCTTGTTTCTTCATTTTTGAAGGGAATATTCATGACAAGGTTGCAGCTCTCCTAGCTCTTGTCTTGGTTGCATGGTGCATTGTGTAATGTGTTGTAGGTTTCTGTCTCTCCCGTGTTCCTCTTTATTGGTGTGCTCCTTCTGTTTTTGCATTTATTATGAAGACAAAGCAAAATATCAAAATATTTTTATTTTATGCTAGGCTCACTTTTAGCTTGTCTCCTTGTGAACCCTTTGCAGCCACAGCAGAATCCTAGTGGGACTTCTGCCAAGTGTTGGCCACCTCTGTGACCACTACTATGACAGTGGTCAGTGCTGTTTTGGCTAGAGCATCACTAGGGTGTTGGAGGCCCCTCTGACCTTGAATTACATTGGATGCGAATCAAGTACCTTGATGTTGTTTCTATGATGGCACTTGTTCATCATTTAGGGTGAGATAGAATACCTTGCCAACATACTAATATAAAGAAGAATGTCTGAGAAAGGATGTCAGCCTTTCAAACCCTGATGGTTGCATAGCGAAGTCTTCATATAGCCAAAACATACAAGACTTATCCAGTTCCTCCAGCAATGTGGATACAGGGGGGCTGTTGGGCAGATACCAGTCCTGGTAGTCATGGTGGTGAGTGGACACAGCTTTGGGTTCCCAACAAGCCCCATAAATAGGACTTACAGAAAATTCTCCGAAGGTTTGGGCTCTGAACCAGCAAGCTCTGAACAAGCCCAAAGCCTTCCATGCAACAAGGTTTGGTGCAGAAGCTCTTTTAATTTCTGTATTTTAAGTGTATAGCATGGGTGACGCACAAGCTGTCAGCTGGCCACCTGTGACTGTGGGGAATGAGAAAGTGCTTCGTTTTCCTCTTGTAGGGAACTGTCCTCCCTTGCAGATGCTCTGCAGAACAGCTTTGCAGAGCTTATCTCCCATTTAAGATTTCAAAACAGGGAACGATGCAGGTTGAGGTGGGGTGCAGACATGGTACTGGTCAACTTCCTCAGTTGTGCTCCATTCAAAAGCCATCAGAACTGGAAATTGCCTGAAGTGGGACAGATTTGCTCCTCTGTTATGCAGAGCTTTCTATTTTCCATTGAGTTCAGTATTGTAGCCTTAGCCTTCCTATTTCCATCAGAATGGCATATTTTATTGGTTCTCAAACTGAAGAAACAACAAATTCTGCATCCTCTCTGGAGCATGGTCTTGTTAATATTCTTCGAAACATGACATGTGTCATGGCCGTCAAACTGCAATGATCCCATTTCTTCTGAAATGAGAAAAACATGTCACTTTGGCTCTCCTAATACAAAGGGAGAGTCATATTTTAGGTAAGAGCTGCATGGCTGCCAAAGATGAAAGAAAAATGTTATTACTTTTGGAAATTTCATAATTACAGTTAATGATAATTTAATGAAATGACATTGTCTTCACCGCTATCACTGATGAAATGTTTGAGAGTGATAAAGCAGGTCTTCTTAAATACAGCTAAGAGTCTTGCTTGAGGAATAGGTTTGTGACTGCAGCCTGTGTGCACAAGTCTTGAATTCCTATTTTTTGTTACAGTAGTTTAAAAAAGAGGATAAAATAAAAGCTACATGGCAAATAATGCACGTATGAAGTATTTAAAGGCCTTCCACTAAGCAAACAATACTGAACTCCTGAATAACATGCTGATGACTGAGTACTGCTCCTTAGAAATGCTAACCCTTCATTAAAACACTTTACTTGTTTTTCTTTGCAGACAAACCAGAGAACAAGAAACCCCACCAGACTTTTTTTATTTCTCAGACTATGAAAGACATAATGCAGAAATAGCAGCATTTCATTTGGACAGGCAAGTAAAACGGGTTTGCATTGAAAGAAAAAGTGGAAATACTGTGATAGGTTTCTGCACTTGGCCAGCCCTGTAAGTGAACTACTTTTAAAAGAGGGGAAAATGAAACAAAGGTGGGCAAATGCCATGAATAAATGAAATGGCAGTTGATGAAAGGGTAGATTAATAATTAGGAAGTGTGACTTGCTTTGGGAATGAGAAACCTGGCAATAAGTAGTTCTCAAAAAGAAAGAGAAATTATACTGAAGGGAAGCTGAGAAATTAATTTCCCCTGTGATCTTGAAGAGGACCCGTCTCCTGGGGAATATGTCACATAAGTGTGAAGGGAGCCTGGCTCACCCCATTTAGCTCCAGGGCGTACAAATCCAAGCAAGACATGGGGAATGGTGTGAGTATTCAGAGAGGAATGATTGAGATAGGGAGGGAGGTCTGGTTTCACAGCAAAAAGCTGGGGCTGTCCCATATCAGGAACAGGCCACACGACAGTGGGACGTAGAGGGCAATGGTAGTCATCCCGTGCTCCTGTTAGCTGAAAATGTCTCCTTGGGCAGAGGTAGCGCAGGATATAGTGGATACCCCAAGACTGCCGAGACACTGCAGCCCCTCAGCCTGCGTGGATTAGGAGTGGGAATTAATAATTAGTGATGAAGCATTAAGAGTATGGCATTTCACAGGCTGAGTTAGAACTGAAGCATCTTTCACACCCTGAAGTGCCAAGAAATACCCTTTTGAAAGCTTGAAGCTTTGGGGCCACAAATTATCTGAGGGGTAGTATTGCTGCCTTCTGGGTTGATGGTTAGGGTAAGGAAACCTATCAGCAGGTGGCTCAGGGTAGATTTGCCATTAAGAGCCATCCTGGTCTGATTCTTCAAGGGTCTTCCATATTTCATTGTTGTCGACCTTGGTGTTGATCCCTTCTGCTTAATATTTTATATTGCCATTTTAAGCAGATGGTGCTGTAGAAAAAAAAAAACATTAACGAAGTTCCTACAGGAAGGAATGTTAAACATCCCCACACTAAGCAGAAAAAGCAGTTGCTACCCAATGTAGAAAATCTTACCAGCAGGCAGTGGACATAAAAATACCACCTATGGTGAAGCTTTTCATAGGGACTTTGCTCTTTTACTGTATCTAATACCAATGCTTTGTAGGGAGTTTTTGATCTTCTAGTAAGGCAGGGAAGTTTGGGGTAGAGAAAGGCTCTTCACCCAGCCTTTGCCAGCAGGAAAATCTCTAGTCTCAGGAAGATTTTTTAGGTTGGTATAAGGGTATTAAAACAGAGAGAAGCAGAAGCAAATAAATCAAACAAATACTAAGACTGTCATGAAAAAAAAATACTATTAGATGGTGTTTATGGAAGAAAGAGGCTGAAATCCCATTCCTCAAGTCACTTACTTAAAAAATGGTGAGCAAAGTGCATGTTATAACAATCCCGAAGTAGCATAAAGTCAAAAATAAGTTTCTACTGTCTGTTATTTTTGGAATTTTATGTATCTTCATCTTTTTCATGGAACAATGCGTCCTCATACTCTTCTGTGTTTTGCATCTTCCCCATACTACGTAGGCAAGTCAGAGCTAACCGTATTCAGGACATATTTTGTAATATATTATACAAAGGATTATCTAGTTTAAAGCTGATGGGCTTTTTACTCCTTGAAGACCACAGATAAATGTGCCTTCAGAGTGTAATGAGCCTTCCTAAAAACTATCACTATCATTATAGTTTAATCCTTTACATAAACTGTCTGTTTTCTTTCTCTTCCAGGATCCTGGATTTCCGTCGCGTGCCACCAGTTGCAGGCAGACTGGTTAACATGACGAGAGAAATACGAGATGTTACTCGTGACAAGAAGCTGTGGAGAACATTTTTCATCTCACCAGGTAGTCTTCAAAATAACACTGTATTCTTTCTATCCCGCTGAACACGTACTTAAGGGAACGATCTGTAGATTACTTAATTGCTCAGATATTTCTAATAGAACTGTCTTCTAGACCTTTGAATAAAAATAAATGTGGAGACACAGCCTACAAAGAAGACTTTATTGTTTTGAATTGAATGCCTTTTCCCCTTGACAAATTATCCAGAGAGACAGGCTTTTATGTTCACAAAAGCAATGTATTCAACAAATGTTTTATGTAGAGCAATTTCTAAAGCAATTTCTTCTGTTACTCTCAGTTTACCCCAAACCTTATTACTTAGCCCATTAGTTATTTGAACTTTTTTTCTACTGCAGTGTGATCCATCACTTCTGTTGGTCAGATGCATTTATTTCTTGGTTTTGACTGGAGGACCAAAACCTAATTTTCTCAGAGTCATGTACTTCAGTTTTTATTACAACAGGAGTTTGAAAAAAAACGCCAAGCAAATAAATGTGTAACATATCCTGCTTCCAGCTCAAATTCTCCACTGGGTAGAAGCCAGAGTAGGAATGACCTGAATTGTTTCCAGTTCTCATTCTTGTTTTGAGGGCTGACCCCAGGAACCAACACCACTCTCTGTTACTCTTCATTCTTTCCCAACACCTGGTAGTCCCAGCCAAGGATGTAGCTCCACAAGGTGGGGATTTTACAAACACAGGGTAAAACCATGCCCTGCTCACCAGAGTATGCAACTGGAATAGGTAAAGATGGGCAAAAGATGGGAGAAAGTAATACAATTTCTGTTGAGCAGCTGGGATGCAGAGATGCAGAAATTAAGGGTCTGAGTTAAGGCACAAAAACACATGCTGAAGTATCTTCTTAGAGAAAGCATATATAGGGAAGCGTTCAATTTTAAGCATGTAGCTCTGTTCCAGTGAGTTTAACTCATATTATTTCAGCTGTGTGCAAATGTGCTTTGCTGAACTCAGGCTGTGACTTGTGTAATGGGCAATCTGGAGCAGAAATCTCTGAAGATCTCTCCCTCACACTGTGCGTGATTGGCCAGAAGCTATTTATCCCAGATCCCTAAGACAAGGTCCAAAGACTTAATTACAGTTTCTCCTGATGTAACTATAATTTATTGCTGTTAGCTAGAAACCAGAGCCCTGTCATTGCAGAGGTTTCACTCTTAAAATGTTTATCACACTTTTGTGATCACCAATAAAGTCATTATTATGGCTGTTGCTTTTAGCTTTGTATGATGTTCAGCTGTGCAGGACACAGTTGAGCAGGCAGTTATTTATTCCAGTGACTTCACTTGTAAAATACATTACATAATTACAAAAGGCTTCATCTTACCCTGTGTTATGAGTGCTCCAATTTTACATGTACAGTTGTGGTGACAGTATGTGACGAAGGCATTTGCTTGGGTTTTTGTAGGCAAACAATCACACACAAAACAAGGCAAAAAAAATCTTGTAACTTTATGCACACAGGGTACGTTGGCTCATTTGAAATATAAGCCACTTTATTTCTGTTTTAGCAAGTAAGAAGGACATGGATTAGTAGGTTTGCTTGCTTTTTAGTCTTCCCAGGTTATATATCAAGGCTTAGGGGTAATGTTGAATGATTTCTGAGAAGTACAAAACTGTACTCAAGTACTGAACAGCTTACAGCAGCCAGAGCAATGCAGAGTTAAGGCTGCCGGTTTGGATGAAGATCTTTATCTTGTAATTATGAAATTCCAGACATCCAGGGGATGATCCAAGCATAATCCTTTATTCAAATTTATTTAGAGGCCTCAGATAAATTCAATTAAAATATTTGATTAGCTACGAATCAGGCTTTTCTGGAGAATAGAACACTTAAGCAATTAATTTTTCTTTCAATTTTACATTTCCTAAATCAATATACTCTGTTTAAATCATGTTGGTTACTTGTCAAAGTTCTTCTTTACAAGTCCCTAGTTTAATTAGTCAGATTCTCATTAACATATGCCCAACCTCTGTCTTGTATTTCATACTGACCTTAAAAGGCGGGCATTAATTAATGCTTAATGAAGAAGTAATAAGGTTCCTAAATCAAGCATTTAGAAACAAATTCATAAACCTAGCAGGCAGCTCAAGCAGCAGATTGAGAGTAGAAAAGGGAAGAGGAAGGTACTAGGATGAGCCCTGTGGCCTGGGAAGGTGAGGATGGAGAGGGATCAGGGAGCTGGGGAAAAACTGGAAGGGGCTGACTTGTTCAGTCTGGCATATAAGGGACAGCAAATTCAGTTGGTTTTGAGGGAAGAACTGGTTACAAAGCTGAGAAATTGAGATGTGACATAGAACTACTGTGCACCCACATTAAGTTATCAAGGCCCCTCTGGGATTTGCGGGTGGGATCCCTCTGGGATTCTTTCAGGTGTCTATGTCTCTGCATCTCCATCCCCAGAGGTGCTCAATGACAATTAACGGTCATGGGGCACATGGGGCCTGCTGGCAATGCATCCCTCTCCATGCACTCATATACATTTCTTGAAATTAGATGAGCACCACATATAATGGATTTATAGAAAGCTCTTCCCATTGGGCTGGGAGACCACTGCTTGCAGTGGAAACCCTGGGAAGGTAAATATTGATGATGCTCATCAGTTCACTGCGTTACTCCCTGGACCATCACGGCAACATGTTGGAAGAAACCTCACTGAATTTCCACACCTGGGCCGTCTCACTTGTCCCATTCGGAATAGAAATCAGGGCCAGGAAGCTGCAGGCAGTTGTAGCTTCAAAACATGCTGTAAAGCAGCATCGCTTCTTCCACTGGAAAGTGGAAATGGCTGCAAGCAGTCAGGTCAGTTGATGCATTAGGCTGCAATCAGAGAGAAAGCAGATTGCAGAAAAGTGCACTTCCAGGCAGTTTGGACTAAACATGAGAAATGGAATTAGGTCAGTAATTATTTAAATTAATCTTACATCCTTTGCAGCAGGGCAGACTGCAGTAGCCCTGCTACTTTTACAAATGAATGGTAATTTGCTAGGAAAAAAAGAGACATATTAATCATGTCAGCCTTCGTTTTGGAAGTAATTGAGGCAGCAGCTTAAAGAAATCAATGTTACACAGCTAGTAAGCACTATGTTTTTGTTCATATTAACCAATTCCAAGGGATTATGGACTTTTTTTCCCTCTCAGCAAACAATAGCAATTCTGAATTACCTGTTACGAGCAGGTAAAAGAAAGATCTTTTCATGCATTGTTTTAGTAAATATTCAGGACTCTTTCCAGTACTCCAGTTGCACAGGCTTGCTAAGTGTCCTCTATTAACAGTCATGCAAATCTCAATAAAATAATTGCTCTGCCAAGCAATTTGCTTTAAGGTTTCCCCACTTGTTCCTTTTCTTCCTGAGAAGAATCATTGTTCAGCTATCAGGATGATGCACAGAAAATGTGCAGATGAGTACACAGGCACTCTGGTTTTTAATTGTTCTAATTAGTTGGAGTTTCGATCACCAGACCATGATTTTTGCATGGATTTCATTATGAATTGCGTCCGTTCATCCTCACATAATGAAAATCAGACATTTGAAACACTGCTTGGGATTCTCTTGCCTCTCTAGTGCTTTGGGAAATAGTTTCATTTTTAATGAAGCAGGAGTTTGCATGCTGCAAATTTGCACATTTCAGCATGTATGAACATCCCTCCCTTTCTGGTTTGCCAACGCTGCTTCTGTTGCTGTTTCTACCCACTCTGCAGGAACACAAATTCCTGGTGGTTGTTGATTCTTTTGCAGGTGTACTTAGGGAGAGGGATCTGTACAGAAGCACCTCTATCGGGTGAGAGAAGAACATACAGGCTAGGCAATTTTAACGGGAGGAGAAAGACCACACTCCAATAGAACTTATTTCCCCTTTCCCTCTTATTTTTGCCTTGGAAAGGCCAAACCCTGCTCTCAGCGTGGGTTTGCTGGTGCAGCACTGGGCTTGTGTCTCTAGCTGTAATTTCACCCTCAGCCTGCTGTGCAGAATGTGGGTCACCTACTTAGGTTTCAAAGAGACTTGCTACCGCACCTTGAAGTCTTAAATGAGAACTGTGCTTTTCTATATTTGGTACCTTTTTTTTTATTATTTTTTTGAGAAACCTTAAAAACGAATGTTTCCCCCAAGAATTCAGGCTACTTCTGTACTTGCTGCTATAGAAGAACTAGGATAGACATATCAAGATGCCTATTCTGTATCAATCAAAGCAATTAGTTTCTTTAATAGAAACTTGAGATACAACGTCCTTTCACCTTCACTAGCCCAAGAAATCAGATGGGAGCAGTGGAGAGTAAGTATCACAGGTCTGGGCCCACAGGGAGCATAACAGCTGGCAGAAAAAGCTTTGCCATTGAAAGTAACTTCTCACCAAAAAATACATTTGTGTTTTTACAGCATGTTTGCTGTCTTAATGACAGGACACATTCTGCCATTGCTTGAAGGACTGGACTCCCATTACAGGCAATGGGGGCTCTGTGGGAAAATCAATAGCTGGAGGAGCCCAGCAGGAGCAGGGATGAATGGCATGGTGCAGGCAGCACACGTGCTGGCTCTGTCACTGCAGAAGGAAATGCCATCACTGCCATAGCCCCCGGGCCTTCCTGAGGATTTATCTGGATACAAGTGTGTGATTACTGTCAAACGATTAGTCCCAGTTACTTCCGTTGACAATATGGAGCAGGGCTTCGTTGTTCATTAAGTTAAATTCAGAAGCAAACTATTAAACACAGTATTTATCTTCCCACTGTGCAAAATGCTGTGTTTAATATAATTCTTTTTTTGAAAGGTCAGATTTACATAGTGAGCAGCAGAGGCTGCGATAGCACACGAGGGGCATTGCTGGTTACAGTGACAGATAACCCAGCACTGGCTTCAAGCTGCCAGGTGGAAGCCAGGTCATAGAAACCTGGGAAGAGAAATTGTCTCAGGCGATGAAGATGAATCTGTGTGGGTTCCCTCCCTCCACAGATGAGCGGGTGATGCTGACACAGCTGAACTGAAGCACAAGCAGCTTCAATTCAGTGGAAGCATAAACCCTCGCTGCAGCGCAGGATAGAGCCCTTCCCACCAACATACCAGACTCCTGGAGAAATAAGGCATCTCTGTATCTCCTGACTCTTAGTGCTAACCTGCAGCAAGCAGCATTTGTATGTGATTCCTTGTAAATCATCCCTTGTGGCAGCTTGGCACCCCTTGAAATGTTTCGTCTGTAATAATTTCTTCTAAGAGTATAAATCACAGATAGTTTTGGCTGAGAATACCTCAACCTTCCTGAAGGCCCAGTATGATCCTCCCATTTGCAGGCCATCTGCAGCTGGCACTGCTGCCCACAGTGCTTGGAGAACTCTTCACTTTCATCACAAATTATGGAAGAGGTTCAGAGGAGACTTGAAGCCCTCCTGGTTTTGCCAGGATGATCAAAGGAGAAGTTGAGGCACCTGTGTTAGTCCTACAAAAGCTGTGCCAAGTCCATGCTGCGATAGCATTTTTGAAAAGGAAACCTATGAGAGGTTATGAAGTGGAGGGCAGCGCGCCCAGGGCTTGCATTACGTTTGATTTGTCTAGATGTTGACTTTACACTTGGTTTTAAAATGAGCGAGTCTGAAGAAGAGTCACTGAGATGGTCCTGGAGCCAGTGCCTCTGGTGTACAAGTTAAAACTGAGGGTTTCAGGTGGTTTTTAACCTGGAGAAGCTGTCCTGAAGCTGTAGGTTGGACCAGAGGCCTCCAGAGTCTTTTCCAGCCCAAGTTTCCCTAACTGTGATTGCTTTTTTCCCTCATGAAATTTGTAAAAAGTTCTCAAAACCTCACTTCAGAGATATGTATTACTGAGTGGCTTAAAAGGAAAAATGAGTGGAGTTTCTCTTAAGACATTAATACATGTATCATGTGATGAGCAGCAACAAGACTTGTGCTGGGGGATTCACAGGAAGTAGCCAAGGACATGGTCACTTCTTAGCTCATGGGAAGTCTTCAAGCTACTGTTCTTTTATTTAAATGTTAAGGGACTAAGTATGCCTTGTATGTAATGAAAAGCTTTTAAAGGAACTTTTAAGAAAGGATATTCTATGATTCTATGATTCTGCATACTAAACCACTTTAAATTACAAAATAGAAGTACAGTCATGCTGAGTGCTCCCTTCCTTCCTTTTGTAATTTCTGTTCTTCATTTTCTTTCCTGAAATACTTTTCTTTTAGTAATTGTCAACAAGGTTTTTGACCACAGGGTAAATATTTCTGGACTGAGTCAGGATATATTTAACTGGTATGAGCCAACCCTGTGAATGTAAATATACAGTTTGGGTTGGAATTGTTCCCGAGCACAGATAGATGGGTGGTCCTTACGAGCTAGTCACAGCAAAGGGATTTGAAAAGGCTGTCTCCACAGTAAAGCAATCACAGCTTAATGAACAAATCTGATAGCCATCAATAGAGGCTTGGAAATGAAGAGCTGAGATAAACTGTCAAGGAGTAACACATCAGTCTTACAGTCCAATTATAGTAATTCTATGCAGTCAGTCCTAGATAATGCAGCTAATTAATATAATCAAAAACTTCACAAGACCTTATGGTTCTTCTGTGTTCTCGTGCTCCTCCTTCCCCAGTTGCAGCTCTTTGCTGTGTTTCTCCTTCCCTTCTGTCATCTCCAGAGCACTGGGGGCACGCTTGCTCCCTGTCCTCTTGACTTATTGTCTCCCTTGTTCTGCCAACCAGCAGCGTACCATCTCTACCAGGCGCTTTGCTGGCCATAGGTCAGGTCTGGACTGTACAATGATGTACAGAGTGATGTGCTGCAGGGCATTACTGTGATGAAAACTCACCAGCTTACCTATCCAAGCCATGGGGTCTCCTGTGGCAGGCAGAAAATTCACCAGCCCTTCCTGCCTCATTTACACAGAGCCTGCCCAAAGGGAGATCAGCTCAGAAGCAGTATTTGAATTTAGAGGCCTTGTGGGGAATTGGGAAGCAATGTGACTTCTCAGCTTCATGCATAACCATAAGGAAAGGACACAGTCTTCCTCTAATGACATTTTATGTGCATAAAGCAATGCCAAAAGAGTTGGAGCACACTGACAAGATCAGCGGTGTGTTCCTATTCTTGTTCATAGACCAGCGCTGGGGTTGGGGGATGAGCTGATCTCTCCCACCACCAGTGAATTCACATGGGAAGGGGGTTCTTGTAAAGAAGTGGCTGTTCCTGTTGGTACAGAAATACGTGGTGGCAGCTTTGGGGAGGTTTCAAAGTAACGCATGCTCCAAAAGCTGCTGCAAGTTCTTTTTGTGTGGTTGTTGGAGTAACGTGATGTGAGGAGGCAGAAATTTGTGTTTGGGATGTGTGCTGACAGAATTACATCTGTGCTATTTCCACCTTCCACACACATCCCCATGTGAGCCTTCATGGTAAATAATTCTCCTTAGTAAAACTGCCAGTTCTTCTCATACCAGCAAGTAAATGAATGAAACGTTGTTGTCTGTTCTAAAGGAGCCAACGTTTTGAAAGGTGACTTAATTTTGGGCACGTGCCACTTATTCAGCTGTGGGATTTGGGGTTCGAGCCTGGTGTAAGAAATATTCCCAGAGGATGTATCAGTCTGGGAAAATGAAAGGAGAAGGGAAAGGATAAAAAAAAAACCAAACCCTTAAATTCATTTTTTTGGAATATAAATAGACTGGAAACAGTCAGAGCTCAACATAGGGTGTGATCCCAGCCACTGAAATGAATGTCTTCCTAGTGGTTTCAGTGGAAGAAAACTATGTGTGGTAATGGGGTTTTGGGTCTGAGATTTATTTCTGCTCCTACAAACATCAGTGCTTTTATGAATTCTTGAAGAGTAATTTAAGAGTAGGTTTTAAAACTCTTTTCTTTTATTTGCCAGCCAACAACATCTGCTTCTATGGGGAATGCTCCTACTACTGCTCAACAGAGCATGCCCTGTGTGGAAAACCAGATCAAATCGAAGGGTCTTTGGCTGCTTTCCTACCTGATTTGTCTTTAGCTAAAAGGAAAACCTGGAGAAACCCTTGGAGACGTTCCTACCACAAGCGCAAGAAAGCAGAGTGAGTAGTGGGGAGCAAAGCGTTTGCCAGCTGCAAAGGGCAACAGGGAGATGAAACAGTGCTGCAGTTCCTGCCCTTGCCTGATCTAAAGCACTGAGGCTTAGGAGAGCACCTGCATTTCTTTTCCGGGTCCAGCTGCTGGAAAGGGAGAGAGTACTTAGACTCACAAGCAGCTCCAGCTTATACTCCTGAACCTGAAAGGACCTTCAATGGCAGAATTCCCTCATGGGACAGATACCACCAGTGGCTTTGACAGGATGCAACAGGACCTGCCTAACTCCTGTCAGAGGGAGAAAGATTCACTGCTATCAGCAGCCCTAAAGAAGTCTCAGATGTTTTCATCATATGACTGATGGTGCAGCTGGTCTCCTAAATCTTGAAGCTATTAGCCAGATAGTTTTCAGTCTTGTGATTTTCTTCCTTTTTCATCAGTCACAATCTTTGTCAGTTGCCTGCATTACTGGAAGCAGCCTTAAAAATTTGCTACTTCTACTTGACCCTGCCCTCAATTGAATATGATACAAGTAGATGTTTGCAAAATAACATTTTTTTTTAATACTCAGTAAGCTTTGTATGTCACATAAAATATCAAAATATTGGCTTTTCCAGATGGGAAGTTGATCCAGATTACTGTGAAGAGGTTAAACAAACACCCCCGTATGACAGTGGGACCAGAATTCTGGATATAATGGATATGACAGTTTTTGATTTCCTAATGGGTATGTTTCATCTCTTAAAAAAACTAAATGCAACATTTAATTAGAATAAGAACTATTTCTTCCTACAGCGCTCTGCATAGCTCAGCAGTTTGCTAAAGCATGGTTGAAGCTGCATTTACTGTATGTGCTGTTCTAGGTGATTATGAGAAAATGCAGATTTACATGGTTATGTATTCCCATCAGTGCAGATTAAAGGAACAGAGATGTTCCAAAATGCAGAGTGATGATGAAGGTAGGTCAGGCTAGTCTTCTTCACAACAGTTAAGGGCTTTGCAGTTTGCTTTAGTGAGTGCTTTACCATTGTAGTGTATAGCTCCTGGATGAATATGGAAAGCCTGTTCATTATTGGTATATTGTTTTCAGCCTGCAGTAGTATTCACTGCTGCTTGCTTTATAAACTGTCAGAAGGGAAAAAAAATACAAGAGGTGTTGCTTTGTCACAAAGGCAACTCTGGTATGTGTCAGGAAGGTTTTTTTCCTGTTTATGTAACCTGCTTGGAATAAAATATATTATTAACAAGCAGGTAATAGTGACCTAACCTACTCAGTGGTTAACACCAGGATATTTTAATACGCAACCCGTTCTGCTGCAGCTAATATAACCTGTAAGATGCCAACATACATACTTGATCCTTGGACACATGCCAGCATGGATGTATCCTCAGCCATTGCTACTACTGTGATTTCTGCAATAGGCTGCAGCAGGAGAGGCCAGATCACAGCTCAGGAGCCATATGCGGCATCTCTAAGTGTTTCAAGACCCCCACCATTCATAACTTGGCACCAGTACTCTGCACATTGACCTTAAAAAGCAAATCTTCTGTCTGCCTATCATGGGTGCCCAAAGAGAGCTGTTCAGCTCTACCACCGTAGTAGCATCCTGATCCATATGTTAGAACCATAATATTGTTTTGGCTTTCCAGGCAGCCAGAACTTCGGACAAAGTTCTTATTAGAGGAAAAACAGGATGTTTAGATGTGGTTCAAAAAGTTTAATACAATATTAGCAAGGTCATATGGATTAACATCCCTGCTTGAAGGATGCATTTTCCCCTCCCTAAGGTAAGCCTCACGCCTGGTACATGTACCATGGCTGCTTTCCACACCATACTGACCCAGAGCCAGAGCAGCAGGGCTCATTTTCACTAATGGAGCTCCGCTGGCTTAGGACATGGCCACCTCACGGATGACCAGGCTCCTCAAACAGTTGAGATGCCATCGTACTTGAAGAGGGATTTCCTTGGCATACCCTAGGAGGGGTTGGTGGAAGGTGAGAAGGTTGGCTACATCTTCTGATAAGTCCTTGAGAGCTTAAGTGTAAAAGCTACAGAGAGCTTGAAAAGCTTCCAGAGGCATAACAGCCCATCTTCCACTATCAAACACTTGGGGGTTTCCACAGTAGAAGCAAATGAGTCCAGTAGATCCGTTGCTTTCTCTGCCCTACAGAGCCATCGTGTTTATGGAGTGCTGGGCTTCTTGCTGAACCATGGCTTTTGTATTGCCCTGAGCTGCAGGCTCGGCAGCAAGCCAAACTGAGAAAGGTCTTTTTTTTCTCTTTATTCCATAGGTAACATGGATCGACATCACTATGAAACCTTTGAGAAGTTTGGAAATGACACATTTATTATCCACTTAGATAATGGAAGAGGGTAAATACCTTTAATAATCTTTCTGGGAGGGAAAATGTCTTTAAAACAGCCTTTGTCATGTTCTTGCTCTTATCTTTGAATAGGTTTGGAAAATATTCCCATGATGAACTTTCTATATTGGTGCCTTTAAACCAGTGCTGCAGGTATGCCTCATCTCTGGAGCTGTTTCCCATTTTATACAATTGTTCCCATTAATAGGACTGAAATGTTCAAGTGAATCTTTCATTGCATACCATGGAGAGGCAGAGATGATCCGGCCCAGGGACCCTGTCCCAAGCTGGCCCTGAGTGTTGACACTAACAGGTTAAGTGCTTTGTTGAGATCAGGACCTTGCAGGAGCATGACTGTGAGGTGCTATAAGAGAGGTTTTAAGACAAAATACATGTCCTATGGAACCCAAGTGGCAATGCTTAGTCCAGCTTGTTCAAGTACTTCACAACAGCTTTCCTCAGTGCTCATGGCCAGGATTTCAGACAGGACAGGTGACATTAGAGTTTAAGCTTAGCACAACTAGGACACAGGGTGAGCTGTGTGTCTGCAGGGACTCTGGGTGTCTCTACAGGGTGAGCTAGCAGGATCCCCCGTTGCCATCTCACGTACCCCAGCTCAATGCCACGTGTGTTATGTGTCATTGCCAAAATGGACATGATCTTGTGAATGCTGTACTGGATCCAGTTGGTGCCATACCCAGCCGAGGAACAAGAATGCTGTCTGCACTTGGCTGTAGAGCTGTGTTCCAAAACCTCTCCACCTCAAAAGGCTCCCAAAGATCACTGACTGGGCGACAATGCCAGCTGCTCATTAGGACTATGTCAGTGCCTGGTTCTCATCATTTCAGATCACATAATAAGGTTTTTACACTATTACTGCAATGCTGACTATAAGCCTTTTATCCATGTCAGGATCAATAGTGATGAAAATACTAATTTGCATTTTTTTTCTCCTTTTTCTCTTAGAATAAGGAAGTCTACCTATCTGCGATTACAGTTGTTAGCCAAGGAGGAATACAAACTCAGTCTCTTGATGAAGGAATCTTTACTAAAAGATAAAATAGCTCCCATTCTCTACCAGCCTCACTTGGAGGCAATGGACAGGCGGCTGCGTATTGTCCTCAAGGCTGTTAGTGACTGTATAGAAAAGGATGGTTATGGCAATGTGGTTGAAAATGACTTTAACACTGATGTTAACACTGTTACGACTGAGAGGTAGTGAAATGGCAAGACTACGTTTTTACCAGCCAAGTGAAGAAGATTCAAAGAGGAAAAAGAAAAAAAAAGTCTTGCAAAAGACTGTGTATGCCATTTTGTGAATTCAGTGAATTCAGAAATGAGATATAATTGTTCCCAAAGTAGGTAAAGCGTAGACTCTGCAAAGGATTAGTTCATTAAGAAAAATAAGTCTAATGTGATGCTTTTCATTAGTTCCTAAAGAGAGATTATGGAAAGATTCAGAAAATACTCAGATCATTGACAGGTAACAGTCTGATAGCAAAACACCTCCTGTCCTTTTTTGTATAGAAAGGAGGCCTTTACTTAATATTTTGTATTTATATATGGTATATCTATGAAACCCCAGACCTACCTACCAAATTTAACTAAGAGGGACGGCATACTTTTGTGACTCACAATTTATTTGTGGTAACAGTCCACTTAGTATTTTGTGTTAACCCTTTAAGTGCTCTAATCCACTGTATCTTATTTGAATTGAATGCTTTTTGTTTTCTCCAGCTACTCAGCATTTAAAGGGTTAAGGCACTAGGACCTTTTAAAGGAAAAAATAATAATAATAATAATAAATACAGTGGTTACCAGAAGGGAATTTCACTAATTGTGCATTGACAGGAATACTTGAATGTTGGTTTTACAAAGTGATGTAAAATGACAAGTTGTACTATTTGTCCATAAGGAGTTGGCAGCTTTTATCTTTCTAGACTATCATAGCTGAGCTGCTACTTTTCAACTTTGCTTTTGATAGTTTTGTGTAAATATATACATATATGGGTAAAAAGCTGCTTTCAGCAGCTCTAGGCTTACTTTTGCAGCATTTTTGTGGAATTGTTTGCAACGTGGTAAAAGTGCAATAAAGATATGGCAAAATGTGTAGCCATTGTGTCTAGATGGATTAATTTTTCACTGGAAGTGGTGTTCAGAGCAAAGCTGTGCACGCCAGCCACGTATTCCAGAAGTGGTAGTTTAAATTGTCATTCCCTTTTGTAGCAACAGCAAATGGAGCTAAAGTATTAATGATTAATGTTCATTAGTATTCATTAATATATATTAATATATGATTAATACATATTACAACTCCAATAAGGACCATGGTATTGAAAATGGCTGATCTTTCTTATAAAAGCATTGTTTTGACTATCACTTCAGCATCCCTTCCTCTTGCAATTATAGCTGTAGAAACAAGCTGTAGAGCAACACCTTGAAAAGATTATGGCTTGATGTGCTGCCCAGAGGATTTAGATACATCAGTGCCTTTGACTTGGGTAGCAAATCCCTTGTACTACCCAGAAAATCTCAGCCTAAATTATTTAGAAACATGGTGTTCTTAACCAAATAGTTTTGAATCATGTTCAGCAGAGTTCATGTAATATGTGTGGAGACTTTCAGCCCAAAAGCAAGCTATAAATTGAACAAGTAGCTGCATTTGACTTGTGAAAACATGGTGTGGTACAGAAGGAATCCCTTATTGCTCTTTTGGGTGAGGAGAGAATTTATTATGACAATATTCATTACAACTATAATTCAAAACTGTCGTTTGTTTCACCTTATGTCTTTCTTCTCAAGGATTTATAAACATATACTTTAAAACTTGTAGCCAGATAGACTAAAATGTAGGCATTTCAGTGTATTAAAATTATGAATGAGAGAACAAGCTGCTATATCATCTCATTTACTTCTAAGGTTGATATATTATCACTAAAAAAATATGTCTTTTAGTATTTTACTGCCCATTTCAAATTCCCATGGTTCATATACATAGCATACAAAGACAACACATCTCAGATTATACATCTGTCCATGAACTTGGAAAATTTCTGTTATCTCATGGCTTTTTTTCACTTTTCCAAGACCCACCTGTTATATCAGTGATGTTCTCTGTAATGCAGCACTTGCACTGCAGCTCTCTCTTTCATTAGCCAAAAAAAACCCCAAACCACAGGACTGTAAAAGGGTGACATGGGTGACATTATCCTTGCTTTGTCCTCAATGCCTGGCAGTGGTTTTCCTGCAGGTGCAGTTTCTTCTGGCTGTGAGATTGTGCCAGGACAGCAGACAAGGGCTATAAAATCACCTTCCCAGCGCAGCTCTGCTTTCTGCTTCTAGGGTTGGATCAGCCACGGGCTCTGGATCTGCAAACCAGGTTTTCTTATGGAAAGCAGCACTTGGCAGCCTCTTAGCTCAGAAAGGAGCAGATACAGACAATGGCAGCAAGTACAGTTAGAGGGTGGCTTTGCACAGGAACAGCTTGCTCTTGGGGGTCCTTGTAGGGAGGGCACAGTGGATTTGGTGTGCAGAGGTCATGCACTTCGATATGCACGTGTGACAGCAGATTACTGCAGTGCAAGACGATGGCTCTGAAAGAGTTGTCACTGTGCATTAGGTCAGTAATCCATGAGGTAAGGAGGATTAACATGATGCAGTGTAACATCTCTTTAGGAGTCCGACATATTTACCAGACAAAAAGATTCTCTCTAAGAAGATAAATAAATGTCAGAATCCAATTGGTTTGCCTCCGGATCTTGAAAATGGTTGTAGTAACAGCACCTAGACAATAACGTACCAAGAAATCTGCAGTAGTCTATCAGGGCATAATATGTTCAGCACAACAAATATAGTATGCACAATAAATAACAGATAAAAATAGATAATATACTTCTAAAAGCACCTAATTCCAACCGTATCTGACAGCCTAGAATAGCTTACTGTATTCTCCTGAGTAATCCAGATGAAAGCTTCATTTTGTTTTGCTGTTTTTCTGTTCTTTAAGCATCAAAGGAAATTCACACAAATTAAAGGAAAAAAAGCTTTCATTGCTTGAATTAGATATCCTTGTTGTGATCAGCAGTACTGGGCAGAGCCCACAACGTATATACAAGTTGGGAGCCTGAAGGAGATTGCAATGTAAACAACAGCAAGAAGTGTTGTGTAGGAGGAGGGAACCTGGGATTTCAACCTGACTGTTCCCTTTGGGTGCTGAACTGAAAATGAACTTGGCTTATGTGGCTGTTAAAGGGAGGAGTATCCAAAGGCCCTTCTGGTTCCTGCTAGTGGGTCTGTGTATGCTACCTATAGATCTGAGAGGGAGTGTTCTGCTCCCTTCCGTTGCAATGGCATTGTCCCCTTAACACACCCAAACTTCACCTGAAGACTCTCCATATATTCAAGGCTTTTGTGGCCCTAGCCTAAGAGTGCTGAGTTTTGAGCTGGACATTTACTAGAGCCTTGATAATTTGCATCCTGACGGAGCAAACTTTCTCCTAGTACTGAATGTATAACCACAAAATTAATTTCCCAGAAATTATTCCAGATATCAGTTCTTTCTGTGGACTTTCCTGTGGTAGTTATTTACTAAAACATTCAGGGCTCAGTATGCAGAAATGAACATGCACAAGAAAGATTCTTTTTAAACTGTAAATTGAGTGTTTAAGGGAAATGGTGAGTTGCCCGGGACAAGTTTTCACATGGAATTTCAAGCTGTTACTAGTTAGAAGCTGCTGGATTTCTTGAGAATACTTTTTTATGTTAGAAGTGATTGATAGGTAGCCTCTGGCTATAACTCAGTCTGTGACCAGATCAAACTGAATTACCTGCTTGCTTCTACATTTGCATCAGTAACGTACCAATCCAATGCTTGTGGGGGCTATCTGGAGAAAGAAACTAAAAGCAGTTCAATTTGGTGGGTCAAGCAACCTAAGAATTCAGGTCAGACCAGCTCTGGTTATGGGTAAAAATGAAGCATAAGCAAAAAGGAGGCTACCGATTTGTCAGTACCTGTACCTCTTGCTCTAATGCAAGGTCAGAGCAGATGTTTGTGTCTAGAGGTTGTCTTCAAGATGCTGCTCCATCTTTTTAGAGTTATTAAACACTTTCCAAAGTTTTACATTTATATAACTTTGATGTAGTTAACTTGAAGAAGTAAAGGGGTTTGGGGCACGATTTGGGCAATGCATTTGTATCCAATCCAGTATATGAAGACTGATGTACTGAGGGACCAGCTCCTGTCTTTCGAATGACCTTCATATGCAATCAGCCCCTGTCCCATCAGAATGTGTTATGCCTCGAATCTTGCTCAGATATGGGCCCAAATCCAGCAGTTTGCAGATGGAATTGACAGCTGGAACTGAAGCAGAATATCTCAAAATTGGAGGGTTTAGATCAGAGCACTCACAATTTCTATAAATGTGGGAATCTGGGTCGCGTTGTGCTTTGGCCTAATGAATGGCATTAGGATCCCTACATAAATTTCTCTGCCACTTCTTCTTGAAAGGTGCTCACTGATTGACAGACAGATGTACAAAACCACCTACATGCTTTAGTTGACCCTGACATAACTTCGGAATACACCCCAGGATGGCTTAAGATAGATCCTACCCAAAAGACAGACAATTTAAAATCTCATCCCTCCAACTGCTGGTGCTTTATTAACACAAGCCATGTGTCACTCCAGAGGTGGCTGCTGGAGTCTGCTGAAATATAGTGATCTCTGTACATCCCTGTTGCTTGCTGGAGCACCTGGATGCCTGCAGAAGGTGCCATAAATCAAGCAAGGACTACAGTCTGCGTGCATCTTCTGAGTCCTCGTGCACAGCTAAATGACAAATGAAAGTCAAAGCTGTCAGCATATTGTAAGCAATTCAGCTGAGGAAGGCCAAGACAAACCCAAAACAACAAAGGCAAGTTGGTGGTCAGATCCTTTCTTGCAGACACTGATACATAAGCGAGGAGCAGCACTTACTGCTCTGATCTCAGACTAAGCTTTGGAAATAGAGGACAAATCCTCTTCTGACTTGTAAACTAAGCAAATCAGGCTATCCAAAATTGCAAGCAGATTTCCTTCTAGCATATTCTACTTAGTCCTTCACTGTAACAATTTGTGCAACCTCTTAGACTAGCATGAGGATTCTTTGCCACAGGCAGCACATTATAAATAGTGATGATAAAAGGCTTTTCTGGTTAGTCCATTGAGTGAAGTTTGCGTTGTTTTCCAGATCAAATCAGAACCCTTTCTGCTGATTTTAAGCAACTCTTTCCTAATCAGTGAAGTCAG